ATGTAGTTTAAAGTTATAAGTTAGAGTTAGAGTTATAATTTTATTAAATTGAGAATTTTAAATTAAATTGAGAAAAGATCTTGTAATAAGATAGTAATTCAATTAAATAAAAAATTATTTATTTAATAATTGTATATTAAAGAAATAACGATTGAATTTATAATCTATTTATAATAAATAAATTTTGAAATTGCAAAAATAGGTATTAAATAAATAATAGCTATATAAATTTTTATATAATTTGATTTGAAAGTAATTCTTACCGAAAATATGAGGACATTTCCGTTTCCATTGGGCGACGAATTGCGACGAATCGCTGTTATAATGAGTGTAAGGAGGTAACCGCCGAATGCAAGAAAAGAGAGCGCAGTTATTGCCAACTGAAAGATCTTTGAGATCTTCGTGTCTTTGCTCTTTTCATCATAGTGTTCCTCGTATCGTCTTATAGGCTTTTTGCTACTTCTCTTCAAAGCCATTGGTAAAGACATTGATGATGCCAACATTGGTAATGTTCTACTCGAGATGTCCATATCCTCGTTTTTTTCGTTAGTAATATCTATAAATAATATAAAAATAAATTTTATATATAAGCAAAGCATAGACTTACAAAATATGAGCAACAAGTGTAATAATTACACTTTATATATATTTTTATGTATATCTTCACTTTATGTATATCTTCAATTGTTTCAATCTTAAAATACCATACTTTGATAATATTATTATAATGGTAAAAATTACTTGTTTATAACGAATAATTTATAATAATTTACCATCGTTGCTTGCAAGGGACGACTTTATTTGAATTAGTTTATCCATTGGCAATTCGCTTAAACTGCGAATTTCATGTTGATATAAAGATGTCTCACGTCCACATGTCATTTTTAAAATGCAAAATATTAACAAACCGCAATACATAGCTGAGTATTCTAAAATTTACGATTATTATGATATGAATATGCATATTTGTACACTTTAACTATATCATATTAGTATGTTAAATGACAGATAATTTACATTAAATAACACAAAGAGTGTACACTTATTTGGAATATTTTCAACTTGTAGCAATAAAAGTTGTGTCACTTCCGATTATTATGTTAAATCTTTCGTAAAGATTTTCGAATTGCAATCGATGATCGTTATGCAAATTTAAAATGTTAGTTCTAACACTTTTGTCACACTTTAATCCAACCTTTTTACTGGTTTCTAACAGGAACGCGACTAAATCGCGCTGCGAAATACCGTAGATGCCGTTTTCTCGCGCTTGGTTAACGAAGCAAGAAGAGTGACATTCGCATAACAGACGACTCAACAGTGACTTTGTCTTTGGAGAGACGCAACGAAATAGAAATAAATGCATAATTAACGCAAAACATCCGTTATAATTTGCTTCATAAAGATCCTTGATACCAGTCTCACTACTACTGTCGACCAGTTGAATTCGACGAAATGTCCAGCATCGTGGTGTATCTTTTCTTTTGTGCTTTTTGGATAACTATATTTAACAATGTGCAACTCACAAAAACGGAAGGCAAGTTTTTCTTTTAAAGAATTAAATTTTTGTTGCAAATATAGCTCTGATAAATATAGCTTGCTAAAATAAATTATTGTAAATACAAATGTTGTATATTTATTTTTATTCTTAGATGTTCTGGATAAGATAAAAACAGGATTGCAATATGCAAGTAATTATCTCGAAACAGCTAAAGACATTGCCGATTTAGTGTCTAAAAGTTTAGGCCATAAGCAAAAACAAAAACGAGGAGAAGACGAAAATGATCAGATAAAACAATCATTTGGCCCTTCAAATCTCATTTCTGCATTCTTTCGTCTCATTGGATTTGATTCGCAAAAAGTTGCAGCAGTCGCAGTCAATAGTGTTATATTTCTTGCACAGATGGTAAATATATATGAACAAATATATTTTACAAGTAATTCAAATTACATAGTAATGATTTTATTCTTGCAATGTTGAAAATGTTTTGATTTTTTTGTTTTGTTTGACAGATAAGCACACTTTTTGGATTGAAATCATCACAAAATAATATCAGCAGAAATATAGATATAGACAAAGAATTGACTTGGAATCCTTTAAAATTTACTTTGGAAAATAAAAATGAAAAGGTAAATTGTTATAAATATAAAACATATGTAAATTTAATTTTAACGATAAAATGAAAAGGAGTTATTTTATATTTAAGTCTACTACAAGATTGAAATATTCGTGTCTGAATATTTTAGTGTATGTATAATATATACATACTATTGAGTATACGTATTACACACGTACACGCACACTATATTTTAATTGTGCTTATTAAGATAGCCATAATTAAAATGTATCTATAACAAAGAATATAGCTTTTTAAATATATTTAATAGATCCGAAATTTAGTCGATCAAGCAAGAAATCCAAATTTACCAAATCAACTGATAGCTAGAATGACTGGTTCTGATACTGCTTGCATCAAATTGTTATTATGTAAATCATCTCCAGTCATAAGAGCAGCGCAAAATTCACTTAATAATAAATCGCAGAGCTATGTGCATCGAATAATTGGGTGGTTACCATCTAAAGAGGAATTTGAAACAAATAACGATGAATGCGAAGATAAACATATCGATTGTCATCTATTTTCGTCACGATAATTAGTATCTTTAAGTAAGGAAGGTAGGAAACGAAATTATCCTCATCAGGAGACTCAGAGAGATATATTTCCATGTTAATAAATATTTCTAACGATGTTTTGTTTTTCGATACAATGGGGTTTCTTCTTCTTTTATATTACAGATTATATGCTTCGAAGATTAACAATATCTTTACTATATATTTACGTAAGAAACAAGATATTCTCAATGCGGTAGATATTAATAAAGTATGTGAGCAAGTATACATGCTATTTATCTATATATTCATTTCTATTGCGCAGAAAATTCGAATTGCTATATTTCCCATAGCATAACATTATATAAGCACAAAATATGCAACAGTGATTGCACGATAAATACAAATAACACTATAAAATTAAATAATATAAGGTGTGTTTGTAAGGACTAGTTTATACTTTGCTCGGATGCATCAAAGATATTTATAATACAATGAGGACGGTGCTAACACGCAGAGTTTCTACACTTTGGAATCTAGAACTTTATTGCCTGTATTTTAAATTATGATTAATGTTTTAACTTATAAGAATAATAAAATATATATGATTCAATTTGTTTGTTTCTTTTTCCCTTCTTTTACACACATATTAATACACACATATAGATAAATCTTTTAATCTGTTTACCGTCATAATTGTATAATTATATTATACTAGTATATTACCTGACATGCATACAATGTTGATTATATTAACTTTAATAAATTTATATTTACATAACAATAATAATAGAGATACAAAAATTGAACAAAATATTATGTATATATAATTATAGTTGTATATTTTTAGATTGTCTATCCACATTGCTTAATCATTTTTCGTATATTAATGTTAAAAGTTCTCATCATTCAAAGTTATCATTATTAACTGCTTTTAATAATATATGGCACAAAAGTAAATTACAAATTTATTATACTTACTATTATATATATAATAATTTGCACTTGAAATATGCGCATATATATCTTATGTATATTTATTACAAATTATTTCATATAAAAAGAGAAATGTTTCCTGTGACTCAAAATATTATTTTAAGTGTGTAAATATACTTAGTAATTATAATGTAATTATATGATAATTTAAATAATAATACGTAATAACATTTTGTCTCTGTGTTTCAAATTTATATATAAAAACTATATAATAGAAATATAATTATTTAATCAACTAGAGGCACATTATATCTATATTCCAAAGTGTACAATCATCAATTAATCTATATCATATGTCTAATGAGATCATGATATTGTAACACAATTTATATATGGGAGTATATATATGAGAGTATACGTTTATACATATATTATCGTCTTTTTCTAAAGATCAATCATAGTCAATATTGGAATAGTTGTAATCGATGAAAATTCTCGGTCGACCAAAAAACATTTGGCATATATTCAACTTATTTAGTAATTTACATAACTTACATCGTACAATATCTATAATTTCTAATTAAGAGAAAATTTTGGCATTTGAAAAATGACTATGATTAAGTATAGACATATTAAGATTACATGCGCGATATTTATGTTTACATTAAAAATATTTTGCAAATAGTAGTAACGTCTTGTAAATATTTTATAAGATATGCCTATAATATAAACATAAACAGTTTCATTTAGATATAGAAAATACAAATTATAGAAATTTACAAAATATTCTACAAAATATTACGAATATTTATGTTTTTGATTCAAGTTTCATAAAATCACAATTAACAATTAGAATATCGCGCACAAGTCATTATAATATACCATACATTTATCTCAAACGCAGTTAAGTATTTTATACTATAATTATGTAAGACTCGTCTTTTATATATTACAACATGTTACATATTAATAAAAAATTCGTTTCTATATATATAGAGATATATAAAGGATTAACAGACTGTCAGAAAAAGAAAGAAACGGGCCGTTAGTATGCATTGTACTGTGCTAATAGCATCAAAATCTCGATATTGATATTTACAAGAGACGCTATCCATCAGATTTCTTTTGTAAATATGCATATATGTGCCAACCCTGTATTATTAATTTTATAAATCTTTACAATATAATATAAAGTTTATTAATCAAAAGTGTCAAAGCGTTTATTATCATCCACAGATATGTGGAAATATACCGTTGATAAAGTTTGAAACAACTGGAAGACGGAAATAGAAACTAAGTTTTGTGGAATGATTTATTTTCTTGTAGGATAATATTCGCTTTGTTTATTCATAATATTTTATTTTATTCATCAAGAAGACAAAAATCTTGCCATGTGGCATTTTATTTAGATTGATGTAGGTGATTGTTAACATTTTCACATATTCCTTTTACACGTATGGCTTCATTTTTTTATATGTAATAAAAAACAGTCTTGCACTGCTATGCTATCAATCAAGATTAAAGAGTTTAATTAAATTTATTAATACAATTGTTTCACTTCTTATTAAAGTACAATCAATCAAATACATGATCTAAAATCGAATTTAAAAAATGCCGCTATGAATGCCTATTGAACACTACATTACATATTATAATTATCACATCCAATTTCTACAAAATTTTCATCCATATGTGAATTATCTATCGAAACGACTATATTATTATTTTTGACAGCTTCAATCGGTGATTAGCAAAGAAAAAAACAAGATTCGGAGCAGCAAGCGAGCACAAATTTAAATTCCATACAAATCGGATACATTTTCATCGGATACATGATTCAAATAGAATTATTTTCAATTCTCCTAATAAAGGTCACAAAGGTCACAAAATCACTTTCAATGAAATATTTTAATCATAATCCATATAAAATCTATTAACTGGCTAAGGAAATGAATTGCACAATTAATAAATTATTCGAAAAATATTATTAAAATATTGCTAATTAAGTAATGCTATATTTTCAATTAATTATCAAATCAAGATTATTTAAGATTATAGATTAACTTTGCAAAAGAATAGAAGTTTCTAAAAAGAAAAAAATTTCTTTTCTAGATGTGAACCTTAAAGAGTTGCTTGGCCGGGACTAATCATGTCGGTATTTTCCACGCGAGCTTGGCGTAACCAATCCCTGAGGTTTCTGGTCCTTTCCATCAAATTCGAAGCATTTCTCTCGACTGTACCAACGCTGGTGGTAAAGCCACTATTAGGGCCATACTGAGCGATAATATTCTGAGTCGTGGTAATAGGAGGTTGAGCAGCGGTTAATTGAGACAGGATATTAGACTGTATGTTGGGTGTACCAAAGGCACCTAAAAAAAGAGATGTTGTTGAAAGATAAAAAATTTCATATTAAAAAATTTCTTTTCTCAATATTTTGCATTCGTAAAGAGTTATTTATACTCAATAATAGTGTTTAATTTTACCACTTTCTATATAATATTATCTTAAAATATATATTTAATTATACATATATATATATATATATATATATGTGTGTATATATGTATATAATTATATGTATATAATTAAATATATACTTTAAGATAATATTATACATATATATATGTACATATGTGTATAATGTAAAATATATTTAGAATTAATTAAATTTGTAATATATGTGAGTTTAATTAATTTTGAAAATATTTTACACAGGCTTGTAATATTCGTATAATATTCTTAAATTTTTGAATGAATTCTTTTTCTTTACCTTGCATGCTGTTAGGCTGCGTAGTAAGATGATGAAATCGTAACCAACGCAAATAAGAATACATAAGAGTTGGTGTTGGAGGTATGTTACTGTCTTGACGTTTATTCAAAACATCCCAAATTTCCCGTATTTCTGAATTCAAATTTTCTAAACTTGCAATGATTTCGGTAGATTCTTGATAATGATCTGGTTTATCTAGATTTCCAACAACAAACTATACAATGTAATGCAAATTTATGTAGTCATTTATATAATAAATAATTATGCATTGCATTGTGTGATTGTACAGTAGAAAAATAATTAATTAAAAATTTAGATAATAATATTTAAAAATTATCTACATATATTTTTTCTAGTCTATCTTTGAAATAAGATATGTAATTTTTTCCTCTACATTCTCTTTATAAAATCATATCTTTATAAAATTGAAGCTAATCTTTATAAAATCATATTTTTATAAAATTGTAGCTAATCCATAAAACAAATTTAAAAATAACTGTGCAAAAAGCAATGTTATATCTATGTCATTTTTATATAATAATTAAACAAAAAAATTAAGAAAACAAAAGAAATAAATTAAAATTTACTATTTTAAATATACAGACTTAG